CAAGCCTGTGAAATCAAGGTTAAGGATGAAGAGATCAATCTCTTGTCAATGATATTGGGATAGACTAAGGGTTCAATAAAAAAAAAAAAAATAAATAAATCATTTTGGAGTTATTGACAGCTGAAATCATGGGGAAAAAGTCTTATCAATAGTTTCAAGAGTAAATGCTCCATTGTAAGTTCAAAAAAGTTGTTTTAATCGCAATTGTGATAAGAATATTTGTATTGTATATATATATATAATAAAAGATAGTTGTTCAATAAAAATCTTTTGATACTACATGTAAATTAAAAGAAAACATGTTTTTTGACACAGTTCATATACTTAATCATTCCTCAGTGACATTTTGGGACTAGGGTATTTGAACCCTCCTGTGGGGCTAGCCAATTTTTTTAGGACCTAATATATCTCTTAGTAATGGGACTCATCAAAATTTGTAAAAGATGTTCAGGACTTGCCTCGAAAATTCTAAATAAATCACTGATTCCTTCTGTGACTTAATCGTCAATGGTAATGTAGTATCTTCTTAAGTAGTGTTCATATAACGGAAGCCTACTATGTGATAGTCAGGTCAGCTGTTGCATCGTCTATTCCTGCTCCGTGATTATGACCAAGTCCATAATTATTGAGGACAGATAATTTACATAACTTCTCATGTAAGCAAATCATTAACATTTGAACTGAGGGTAATTGGGCAATTATTGAATTTTAAACAAACAAAAAGATAATTATCATGATAGTGTTGTACTTTGCACTTCTCTCAGGTTTGTAGCTATGTCTCCCTTCGACCTTGGTCCATCTTCATTTGACTTTGGTTGTTCGGAGGAAGTTAAAAACCCAAACAAACATAGTTCAACTCTGACAACAACTGTAAGCAGTGAAGCTGCATAATCCAAACTGTTAAATAATCAATGAATCGTGTCCTTAACAGGTCCTAGTGATTGGTGGGGGACCATGTGGACTGAGGATGGCCATCGAGTGTGCCCTGCTCGGGGCACGCGTGGTGCTGGTGGAGAAGAGGGACAGTTTCTCCAGGAACAATGTCCTCCATCTCTGGCCCTACCTCATTACTGACCTCAAAAATCTTGGCGCGAAAAAGTTCTTTGGCAAATTCTGTGCTGGAGCCATTGATCATATCAGTGAGTAAATCGTGATTTAAAAAAAAAACCATATTCTTGGTTATTCTTTTTCAATGTTCATTTCAGTAACTGTTTTATAACAATTTGCAGTGAAATTGTGTTAAAGATAGATCTATATCTTAATTTCACTTTTATGTTTATGACCATCATGGGCCATCCACATGTAAAATTCAAGAAGACAAAATAGTTAGAAAATGAATATATGATCAATGAAAAGTAATAAACTTATAACTGACAAGAGGAAAAGTAGAAGAGAAAATAAAGGAAGATCTCAAATCTTAATAAATCACCTTCAAAATGTGCAAATGATTGTTCAAGGCCAAAGTTTGGTACATGTCCTTTAACTTTTAAAGAGTTATGCTTGACAAACAGTTTTCTAAATTAAGTAAAAAAGAAAAAGAAATCATCTCTGTGTATGTTGTGAGGTATTACATGAATAGCCATGTACAATCTAATTTTTACATGTCTTTGTTTATAGGTATTCGACAGCTCCAATGTATCCTGATGAAGGCTGCACTAATCCTGGGGGTGGAGATCCACTGTAATGTGGGGTTTGAGGGCATCCTGGAGCCTCCCGAGGACCAGTCCACTCACAGTACGTAAACCATCGCAACAAAAAAACTCATCTAACTTTAATAACTGCGTCAGTCGCAACAGAATTGTTAAAGAACTCAATTAATGTCCTGAAATACATACCGATTACAATAAACTAACCCTTTTATCAAACATAAAGTGATTTCAAGCTGTATTTCGATTTGAAGAGGAATTAAAACTGACTGGTACATATTCTCTGCAGATCTTATCCAGTCTGAGATCGATTGCTAACATATCACTCTGTGTAGTCAGTCTACGGTTGTCTGTTTCTGCACTTAGTAATGTGTTGTCTTACTCTATACAGAGGTGGGATGGCGATGCAAGGTGGACCCTCCAGATCATCCAGTGTCGGAGTATGAATTTGATGTCCTCATTGGTGCTGATGGCAAGAGGAACACACTACAGGGTTAGTTCTGTTTGATAGACATACCATCATGCACATGTATTACTTTTGGTTTTGTCCCCTCGTTCTTGAGGATTGATTTGTGATAGTGCATACATTTTATCAATGGTGATAAAAAAGAAGGTAAGAATGTATTTAAAAAGATGGCAAACAATTATTGTTGTATAAACAAACGGATTTAA